CAACCTAGAAATCTATGAATCTATGACATTTTACTATAGAAGCCTTTGTGAAACTCCAAGGTAAGAGAGCAGTAAACTTCCCAAGTCTCACTCCCTTGCTCCTCTGTCTTACAGAGTTTTCAGGCAGGTTCTCTACTGCGTGACAGGAACTTTTTACCTATGTGTTACTTGTAAAAACTTGATGAAGCTTTCAATATGTAACTCATTTTCCACACTCTGCAGTTCCATTAAGTTGTATAACACCAAAGATACTTCAGTTTGGTTTTGCTGTTCATCTGAACACATAAAAGATTTTAGAGTATTCCAAAGAGGCCACTTTAGGACACATAACCAGGAGCTCACCTGCCTTCCCAGGATATAGGAAGACACTGAGCTGTTCACAATCTAATTGAGTACTGCAGCAATAAAAGAAAAAGCCCTACTTATGCCCTCAACACAAGATAGCTTCTGCTGTCCTAATCTGTAGGGGCACTATCCAGATAATGAATCACAGGTATGTTTTGTTATCTTAGCATCTCCAAACACTGTATCAGACATCACAGACACTCATCCTGAAAATACTATATCCTGCCTTTACAGCAACATCTATAATGAATGCATTCTCTGGAATATTTAAAAGAATAAAAAAACCCAGTAGGCACACAACTTCTGTGAAACAAGCTTACCTGTGCCTTGGCTAGCCTCATTTGGAGAAGTCTTCCCCAGTTCAGCTTCTACAGTATTTCCACATCTGTTCTCAAATTCATCTGAAAATTCCTAGAGAAGGAAATTACAATCAGCTCCTGTAGAAGTCTTTATATTACGCAGTAGAAATAAAGGTTTGAAAAGTAAAGTTAAAAAAAAAAACGTTTAGAAAGAGCTAAACGCTCTCTCTAAAGAGAAAGACTGCGTACCATCTGCCATAACGCTGACGGCAATCCTTGACACACTGTTGTTCTCGGAGAGCAAGGTTGTTCGGTGTGAGCAACAGACAGAATTCAAAAACAAGTGAAAGCTCCAGCTACCATTCCAGGGGGATACATTAACAGATGGTATCCTTACACTGAGGGGCTGGTGTACACTCTAACTCAAGTCTTGCAGCTAATGCCACCCTTCTGTATGCACGACAGCTCAGGCTTCAGTGCGCTTGCCGTCGAGTTTTGCCTTTCAAAACGTGTTAGCTACTACACAAAATAACAGAAGTCAACAGATGCAGAAACACTTACTTGGACCTTAATTCACAGCATGACTACTCTCTTTTGAGAGATTCATGTGTGAAACGAGTAACTTCAGCATGGATATAGAAAATTTGTACTAACATGATACTGAAGAAAGGGAGATGTGGAATACCGATACATTTCTACTGGAAAAGCTTACCAGCACAGCAATGCTAGCATAATTATTCTTCCTAGAAAGACATTAGCACTCCACTGAAAGCACTTGCTTTTCCAAAAGTGAAGGCATCTATGCAGGAGTTGCAGCAAATTTATCTGTAGGCAAGTCCTATGTACTGAAGAATTAGGTGAGTTCATGAGATAAAGAGCAATTACACTTTTGTCCGTATTATTGCCAGGGAATGGAAAAGGACAGGAAGGGAGCAGGGCTGTACAGGACAGGCAGGTGACTATGAGAGGTAGAAGCAAGAAGAGAACTTTCAGTACAGACGAGAGAGACTGTCAGCAAACTTCTTTAGCGTAAGAACAAGGACCATGTGGATTCTTCGGAGATCATCAGAGAGCCAAGTATCATGAGATAGACCCAAATAAAGCAGCGTGTAATAGACAGAAAAACATGGTAACTCACCCGAATATTATCTGCGTCTTTTGGGTGCAACAGAAAGTGAACTTCCTCAAGAGAATTTATTTCGGTTTTACTACTGAATTCAAACACTTTGTCAAACAGTAATTTAGCAACAATAGACCTTGGGAATCCTAAATTCCCTGTCCCAATTGCTGGGAAAGTAATTGACTTCAAAGATAGTTCCTCAGCAATCTCCAGGCATTTTGTGATGATGTCACCCAAGACCTGCAAAGCACAATTATTTTTTCAATTACTGAAGGTGATTTTTCCCTTTTAGCTACCTCTTGGTATTAAAATACAACAATTACATTCATTACAAGGAACATATTAGTCAACAAGGGATCAGCCACACAGTCAAAAAAGAACAGGACAAAGTCTCTCGTCTCCTATGACACTGTCCCCCATTTCAAAGGAAAAGTGGAATTAAACCCACTATAAAGCACAGTTAAATTAGAGTTCAGGCAGACAAAAACCCTTATACCTTTAAAGATGCGTGTTTACTGGACCATGCAGGTACGACAGCATGAAGCACAACACTGCAACCCAGATTGTAGCCTTCTGTTTTCAACACACATCCTTCCTCAGGTGTTTTTTCTAGGCCCTCTTCTTTTAAGCGTGTCTGAAGCATTGGCCCTGCCCTGCTTAGCAAAGCTTTAGAGAGCGGCCCTTTATCAAGCTGGAGATCTTTGGCAACACTGATGACGACAATGTCTGTCTGAAAAACACACAAGCAAAAAACTCTAGCTTTTAAGTATCAAGTTTAAATTCTGCACTGATTAATTAAACACAGCCTGCCTGCTGATTTTCAACGTACATGTTTGGGACAGCAATCTGAGAGTGAACAAAGTTTTGGAATAAACCAGGGAAGTTATGCTCGGTCCTAATACCATGAGCCTGCCTGCAGCAACACAAAAGCCAAATTAATAATGAAATTCATTTCAGGCCAACAGGAGAAAGTTAAAATTCTGCATTCCTGGTCTACTCATTACACCTCCATTTGAAAAACATTTATGAAGTTCATTCTTGTCTTGGTTTCAGCTGAGATAGAGTTAATTTTCTTCCTAGTAGCTGGTATAGTGCTGTGTTTTGGACTTAGGATGAGAATAATGTTGATAACACACTGATGCTTTAGTTAATGTAAGCATTGCTTAGTAACAACTCAAGGACTTTCCAGCTTCTCATTACCCTGGCCAACTGGAGGAAACGCATGCACAAGCTGTGGGAGGCATCCACTCCTGAAAGCATCTGCTGGCCACTATGAGAAAGTTTCTGAAAGGAGTTGCTTCCAGTATCAGTGATCCCAGTAAAGGACCTATCAGCCAGCTAACAGCAATTGGTTCTCCAAAGGAAATGCAATAGCAACTGCACAATGCGTGCCAGTGTCCATCAACAGCATAATGGATAACAGTTCCCCAGATCAACAGCCTACAGGTGGAGGGAGAACCAGACTGGCTGCAGGCCCAGGGCTCAGACGTGCATGGCTGTGCTGCCTCAGGACCATGGTGGATCTGGAAGTAGCCCAGCCACTCTCACACAGCAGAGTACTCACATTAACTGACGCCCAGCACCCTTCTTTTGCTTCTGCACTAGTACCACACTCCTGTAGCAAAACAGGATTTCTGGGAAAGTAATTGCTGCATGCAGGTGGTTCCTGCCCAGCAAGGCAGAGTCGGGGGGGTCGGAGCCCAGAATCATTCCTG